TGATGACATCATAGTTTTTTGCAGAAAGATTTTTTTTTTTTTTTTAATATTTTAAATATGGGGAAACCAAAGCTCATGATCAGTTAACAGATGATGACATCATAGTTTTTTGTAGAAAGATTTTTTTTTTTTTTTTTAAATATGGGGAAACCAAAGCTCATGATTGTAACTACTCTGTACCTTTTCACCAGAGTTTTTTTTTTTTGAAGGACTTTTTTGTTCACCTTGAGCTCAAGTAGTCATCTAGGTTTCCTAAATCACAGAACCCTAACTCTTCGTGAAGGCTTCGCTCTTTTATATGTGATGAAATGGGAGGGCATTCCTACATTCTTTGTTACAGGAGAGGGGATGGTGTGGTGAAATGGGAGGTCACTTGGAATCACGAGAGAAGAGTTCATATTTAAAAATTCATACTGAAAACAATGAAGTCAGATAAATCACTGCAGGTTCTATGTTAAAAACTTGAAATGCTTTGATTGGAGGCTTATGTTGTAAATCTAAATATGCCTAATGTGGCAAAGCTTTCATGACGGATCTTTTCTAATATGCTTTTCTTTCAAAATTTTGAATCTCAGAACCAAGCTTTATTCATTTTAACAAGCAGAATATTATGATTGCCCGCTAATTATAGGGTTAATCTTTTGTTCTTGACTTGATGTGACAATTGTTTCCCTTTGTCTAATAAGGACATGAATATCCTGCTCCATTGTTGCTTGATAAAAGAACAGTAGTAGCATGCTTTTGGATGATGTATCGGTGACTAGCGGAATAGTTCAAGGCAATGTATGCCAATTGTTTTATACGTCACGATGTATGAGCTTAATTCGGTGCATTGAAGAGATAGCAATTACTACTTTCTATATTTATGATATGCTGTAATGTGGGTTTTTCATATTGGACAGGAAAAGACGAGGAAAGAAATTCTCAGGAATCAAGTTGGTCGTGTCTCCTTGTTCATCGTGTTACTCATTGGTCTAGTAGGTGTGCTAATTGGGTACTTTATCAGATGAAGCGAGTATTCCAGAGCAGGCAATTTGCATGGAAAGATGCTATTATTGTTAGTGCCATTTGATAATCCATTTCTTTTTGAACATCGAAATTTAGTTTATCATGTCTTCCTTTCAAAAATTTTGTAGACAAATACCATTGATCATTTTACATGCGAGGGACTGGTTTCTGTGGAATTTCAAAGGGACCTTGCCTTGCCTTTTTTTGGGTATTTGTTTTGTCAAGTTGAAGAAGGGGAAAGTAGCAGTCAAGATAGAGATGAATTGGGAGTTTATGGCTGCAGCGGAGTTTGATGACAGCCCGGTTGTGATTGGTGAATGTCAGCTGTGACTGCTTCAGTGCGTCGCCTGTAGAGGGCGATGCTTTGTTCTCTACAGAATTGTTAAGCTCTGTCCTGTGGCTCCTGGGTAAGTAACCTTGCCTGCAGAAAAGTACAAATGGCCCCGGGGGTCGGACGGGACGTCGAGAGGTCAGGAAAATTCATCGATAGTATGACACACCACAATTTATTTGAAAAAAAAATCACCGTACAACAATTTGTAAAATTCCAACTTTTTTCTGAGACTCTTTAGGAAAAAGGTGAACCAGAAACCTCACGATCACCACTACCGCTGGGAGATTAATTAATTTCTAAACTGGAACGTACTCCTAAAAAGTTGGAATGTGCGCTATAGTGAAACAGGTACTCTGCATTGAACTATAGATTTGTTATCTTGGAATCTGCTATCACTGAAATAGATTTGTTGTATTGAATTGACGTTCAAGTTTCCCTTGAAGAAAAAGATCCCTTAGTTACTCTGTTTTACTCTATCAAATAGCCAATTTTTTAGCTGAATTTAGTTAGAGTTGTGCAACATATGGTTTTCCCCCAACCGAAAAGAACAAGCAAAACACCTCATTTCCAATTAGATCTTCAACAACACCAATCAATTTATTCAGATCACATAAAATAAATACCAGAAAAACACTTGGAACAATTACGAAGCTTGGAGAAACTAGTTCGACGAACAACAAAATTAATCAAAGGTACCGCCTCCGAACCAGAAAAAAAAGGAAAATTTTAATTCCGAAACAGCATCTTAGATCTTCTTCTGGGACGGGTCCTGACCGAAATCATTGATCTTGTCCAGAGGGCAGCGCCTGCGGTTGGTCTCCTCCACTTGCTTGGCCATGGCCAATCCAGAACGGGCCAGTTCCCTCAGGTTGGGAACGTCGTAGTTTTGGGCAACATAGACTCCAAAAACACCTCCGAGCATGAGACTAAAAGTGGTACCAAAGAACCCCATTGATGTATTTACTTGTGTTGATTCTATCTAATCAAATATAAAACAATAGCACAAAAATTCCTCCCGGAAACGAAGTGGAAATGAGTAGATGGAATTTGATGATGAATCTTGGAACTACGTTTTACTAATATATAGTGAGTGGGGTCTGAAGGATGTTGGCTTATTCTCCAAGTATTTTTCCCTTCTACAACTCTGGTTTCTTTTGGATTACGCTTTTGGGGAGTTTATTTTTCTAATCTTGAGAAGAGAGCTTCGTTCCTCCTCCTCCAAGAGTCAAAGGTCAACGGCTTTCATTATTATATTATTTACAGAGTCAACATCAACACGAGTACATTTAAAGAGTAACATAAAATTATAAGGACCAATCTTTAAATATATATAGTATGAGAAAGATTAATCCAAGTTTTGTACTGATGATCATTGGCGGATGTGAGCCTCCAAGATCTTAGAAATTCTTCTAAATCCCTTTACATTGAAATTTTCATTCACATCCTTGTACAAATTAGACTTTGTGGCTCCCCCCCCAATCCCCAATAAAAGATTGCAGAAATCTTTTTAATCTCCTTAAGACGTTAAAAGTTTTTGCTCGTATTCTTGTAAATATTGGACTTTATACCCCAAACCTTTTACAATATTGTAAAGGGCCTCCCCCGCCTTGGTTCTGCTAGTGATGTGATTGGCTGAAATTTAAGTTAAATGTATCCTTGGGACCTTGTTCCATCTTTCATAGGCAGAAGGGAGTGCTTTGTCTGAAAGAGAGCCATATGTGGAGAGGGATGAAAATCTGCCTTAGTCAATTGTTTAGTACAAAGACTATTATTTACAATGTGCAAAAGATCTGCTACATGAAGTCTAGCACACAATCAATCTCGGAATTGGTTATCAAAAGAAAAAGAAGTTGTTTATCGAAAGAAAAAGAAGTTTGGTGGATCTAATGAGCCAATATTTAGTGTTTGCCCAAAGACTTGGAAGTTTATGCCTTGTGGGGACTCCAAAAGTGATACGAATAATAACACTGCTTAAGAACAAAGAGTAAGACGCTTTATTTATTCATAGCGATCGCTAAACAAGTCATATATAATTAAGAACAAACAAAGTACTGAAATTACAAGAAGTCACAATTAATTAGTATGTATGTAAGGTTTCAAAATATTGTTAAACGAGTCATCTTAATAATTAGATCTTGTTCTGAGGCCCGTCTGGACCAGCATCATCATCCATCTTCTTCTTGCTCTGCTGCTGCTGCTGCTGGGGCTTGCGGTAGGTCTGCTCTACATTCTTGGCCGTCAAGAACCCACAACTGGCCAGCTTCCTCAAGTTTGGGACGTCATAGTTCTGTGCAATATACACTCCAATTACACCCCCGGCCATGTACTTAAAACAGCTCCTGAAAAATCCCATGATGTCGACTCACCTTTTCCTTTTTCCCTTCACGTATGCTTTCAGATTAAGAGGAAAAGCAACAATATGTCTCCACTGCAATAGTAGGAAATCATTCAAATTAAAGAGATGGGATTTGCGATGATTATGAAGCCCTTTATGTTTTGATTTATATATAAAGTGTCAAAACTCTGAAGGGGGTTGTCTTGTTATCCAAGCCTTTCCTTCCCCTCCTCCAAGAGTCAACTCAACGGCCTTGCCTCCAAGAAATTTCATCAACAATTTTTAGATAATACCAACTACCCAAAAATGTTACAAAATGTTACTGGAGGTTTTGCTAAGCGTTCAATGCCAGTGCCATGCACGACGTGTCAAATTCTAATTCCGATTTTTCAGCTTTGTGAATTTGTCATAAGGGATAAAACTACTTTTACGTAGGGGTGGACAAAATTGCCCGTTAACCCGAAAATCCGTCATATCTGATCTCATATGATCAGAATCGAAAATTAGGATATTCGATCCGTATTATTTGATGAATTAAAAGAAAATCGGGTATCCGCTTAGATGTGGGGCTGGTTAGAGTGGGTTGATTAAAAATTCGCGAGTACCCGACCCGACCAGCATATTTTTTTTTATTTTTTTTTTATATATACTATAAAATAATATTTTTAGAGCTAAATAAGCAATTTTCATTGAACAAATTGTAATACAAATATGAGAGACTATAGTTTATTTATAAGATTTATTTGCAGAGATCATGATCTTATATTTTATAGAAAAGAGTTTAATTAATGTGGAATATATATTTAAAAAAGGTGCTATTTATTTCAAACTTTTATTGATTATGAATTCTTTTAATTTTTTTTTTTTTGTATTCTCTTCACATGTTTGTTTCTTGGTGGGAGAATTTTTGAAAATTTTTTTATTAAATCCTAGATGAATGTGTAAAATGCAAAATTAAATTAGTATAAATCATTTTTTTAAACAAATAAAGGATAAGTGGGGGCAGAGCGGGTACCCGTTGATCCAACCCTATTTTAGCGGGTACCCTATAACAGAGTATCCACTGATATGCGGGACGGATAAGGATCAGAACATGGCTAACTCGCAAGATGTGGGTCGAATTAGCTAAATGGTGCACGGGTCGGATACCGGACCGTGCCCACCCCTACTTTTGTGGCATTTGATTGGTTGCTTTTATTGAATTTAGCGATGGATGAAAGGGTAAATCATAAATATATGACTTGAAATCTTAGAATAATTTATTGAATGTCATCCTTCGTGCAGAAGAAATAAGAAAAAACTAAGCAAAAAATAATGGGAAAATTTTTGTATAACTATGTAAAAAGAGGTTAATTGTAACTACAAAAGAAATGCATGCTAGTCTCCACCGTAATTAAATTACCAATAATTATCGTTTTGCTAAGATTTGGACGTCACATGATTGCGTGTGTTGTAATTTAATTACTTGGAACTACGAAATACGGCTGATCCATGGCAGTTGTTTAAGGAGCATTTCCCTAAATCCAATCCAAGAAGTGGGAAGAATTTCTCTAATCTTGTAGAATATTTCTTTTTGCCGCTTATCCACGGGCGGTAGTCCTACTTGAGCAGCTACCCAGTCCAAGTATTCATGCTGCGCCAACAAAAAGTTACAGAATTAATTAATTACAAAACATTAGATTTTGTTAACTTAATTAGAGAGACAAAAATAATTACTAGCTGAGATAATCCAAACTGTACCATATTAAGGTCAAGTGAATGAGTGTGGTGTTTTGGGATTCCCTTCTCCTCCAAAAGCCGGTAACATTGTTCAAGATCAGCTGACATATCTTCTTCTGATGGCAAGCTCACCTTACCAGATAAAACAGAAGCCACCCACTTGGCTTGTAAATCAATCATGACAAAATTGATTGCCTTATAATCACCAAAAGTGACAAAAATGCATGATTCAGTAATTAGATTAAGAGAGAGCAGTTTTAATGAAATTTGCTTGAAAAAAGAATTGCAGCTTAGGTGCCATCCCGTACGGTATTTAAGCAACAATGCATAAAAGAACTTACCACGCGAGGTATTCCAACAAAAGAAAGCCTAGGAGCAAGTTGTGGAGGGAAAACATGCTTGTACAACGGTCCAACGCGATTGTCATCATCATCAATAGTTATTACTCCATTTGTTTTCAAGAAAGGCAAATTATACTTGTACCTGTGTTAGTTACAATAATGAAAAAGGCTTCAGAAAAGTTTGATCCATCCCCTCTTATCATGAACCTATTAGTGTATATAAATGGAAGGTTAAGTGTCATCATTCCTAGGCAAACAGCATCTAATCAGTAGTTGATTATAGAGATGAAAAATGGAAATGTGTTGTGGTGAAATATTTTACCCAGTGCAGTGGAGAATGATATCTGCTGTGACCAGAGCTCCATCCTCAAAAGCTATTTCACCATTTTCATAGCAATTTGTGACCTATAACAAGCTTGAAAATGAAGTTGTATGCTAGAAATGACTTCAAGTAAAATCATGAGCTAATGAGAAAAAAAAAAAAACAATCATTTTGTGCTGCAACTCCAAATGTCGTGGGGTGGGGTGATACAAAATTACGTGCCATGGTTTTGTCACTTAGCAACAAAATTCAAATAAAAATAAATAAATGAAACCATATATACTTTTGAGTGCTGCCATAGGTTGTCATACATGTCCCATTTTTTGACTTCAATTTCTTGGGACCTGGAAGAGAGATGTACTTCTTTGGCTACCTCCACAATTTCTAGGGAGATATCATTGGCACTAGCTGCGCCTCCAATAATAACCACAACCTGTCTTTTTGAAAAATTAAATCAGTAGGATTAATAATGTATTTCTCTGTTATGCCTTCATAATTTACGAGTATTAATTAAGAGTACCGAATGAATACCTGATCTCTAAATGGCTCAGGAACTCGATAATTGTGGCAGTGAATTTGTTTCCCCTTCCAGTTATTGATTCCTTCATCAGGTAGAAATTATCAATGACAAAGCAATTGCTAGTAAATTATCAGTATTTAGTAGTAAAGTTGCTTACGCTTGCAGCCACCCCCCCCCCCCCCCCAAAAACCAAAACAAAAGAACAAAAAAATTAAAAAGAACTCTTCTGTTATAAATTTGCCTTTTGCAGCGTGACATTAATTAGTGGCTACTTGACGTTAAATACCAATTAGATCTTTTGATTCAATGTGTCAAGAGTATTGAAAAAATAGTACAATGCACTTCAATTTTATTGACGGTCTAGATGATTAATTAGTGATAATACCACGTTATATATTAGGGCCGCGCATGTAATGAAGCATATTTTCACATTTAAAAAACATAGACTAAGATATAATTACTGTCAATGGGAACTAGATTTAAGTAATTTACCCAAAGCCAAGGGCCTAACCATATATGCTATTTCCAACAAACATGCACCAAAATCCAAAGAGTAAAATAATACCCTCATAAAGAAATGGAGCTAGCTAGCTATTTGTGGAAATTGTTTAACTCGAGATCACCATTGGTTTTGGAAATTGTTTCTTGAAATCATCTTTAATTGAAATTAGAGAATGTCATATTGACGCACTAAACTCACAAACTGAAAATGCTCTAATGAATTTGAGATTCTTATAAAAATATGCTAGTGTATAGAAACTAAACATTTTGAACAAAAATACACATACAATAGACTATAGTGTAACTGACTTGAAAAGTTGAAGTTGGCCAAAATTAAAAAACTGCAAATGTTTTTTCCACCCAAGAATTCCAACTCCCAAGTAGTAGGCCTAGAATTCGAACACTTTGAAAGCCCTCTCCCGGTGGTTATGGAACTAATAAAAATATTCTTCAGATGAATTAATTTCTTGGACTTGCTAGCGCAAACCTGGAAGTTCTGCCACTCTCGGTTGGGTGTTATGTCCATTACAAACCACAACGGCTTCGAATGGCTCTTCTGAAATCAACCCACCATTTGATCTCGACTCAACCACCCACTGATCATCATTCTCCTGCTCAACTCGGACTACTTCTGTATTCAGCTGAATAAACTCGACCAGCCCGAAATCTTCTGCAAAATTATTCAAGAACTGCAGCACCTCTTCATGGCCAGGAAAATCCATTAGCACACCGTCTTTATTCTTGACAGTAAAGGGGTAATCCCAAAATCTCATAAGCGGTCTTGGGAGGTTTGTGTTGAGTGAATGGTATAGACTGCTGTGAACAATTTTTCTGCCAGGATCAAGGCCTAGAGGGTCGGTCTCGACTTCAGGATTGTACACCCACATCCCACCAATTCGGTCTGCTTTTTCATAGACCACCACTTGATGGCCTTCTGATTTCAGTTCGCGGGCCGTGGTTAGGCCGGCAACCCCGGCTCCGATCACTGCCACCTTCAGAGGTCGTGCCATGGTATAAAATACAATTGTGCAGACAAATTAATACCGAGGATGTGAACCTTGTTACGTAAGGCATAATGTTGATGTTTAGTATTTTTTATTTGAATTGTTCAACTAAATTAGCATTTCAGACTCGGAATTTTGCTGCCATGCACATGGACATAAAGCAAATGACAAAATAGACTTGTCAAAAAAACTTGTGAGTGCCCAAATTGACCTGTTCTTGACATTTTATTTTACTGTCACGATAATCACCAAAACAATAAAAAGTTAAGTCACTTTCTGGTTAATTTACCAATTAATCTTGTGTGTGTGTGTGTGTGTGGTGTGTGGGCTAATTTCCGGTCCAATTAATCTTTGTTTGGCTATGTGTGTATGAACATTAAAAGACAAGAAAAATTCCTTGACTATCACCAAATTAAGCAGCCTTATACATGTATCCTTTTACTTCAATATATTGTTGCAAAATTAAACAGCCTTATACATGAATCCTTTCACTTAAATATATTGTTACAAAATTAAACAGCTTTGCTCAAATCTCAAAACTAAAACTATCTGTGATTCTTATAATCACAATTAAATGCACACAAAGATGTAAAAGCAAATTCAATTTGCAGTCTTGGAGATGACTTCAGATTTCCTTCAGAGTCTGCACAACAATCATATTTAACAGTATTACTAGATGACAGTAGCATATATTTATATATGTGCATTAGTCCGATTAATCTCTAGTTAAATAAAAAAGAAACTTCCAAATTAAACCTTGAGCCTTGACAACATCTAAAACAAACGAGATCAAGACAAATTAAGCATGCATTAATATACCTGAAAGAAACAAATATGAATATTTCTAAATGATCAAAAACCTATACATCTACTCCCAAAAGACAAAATAAAAGGGGAAAAAAACCATATCAATAAATTATAGACACCACCACGAAGGAATGCACTTATAAATTATCTTGGGAATCCGATCCTGGGGGGGTCTTCTGGATCGGGGGCTTGCGGTAGGTCTCCTCCATATGCTTGGCCACGGCTATGCCAGTGCTGGCTAGTCTCTGGATGTTTGGTATATCGTAAGTTTGTGCAATATACACCCCAAAAACGGTGCCCAATATGAATTTGAACATGCCCATCTTCTTGCTTGAAATTCGGAGTGATGGGATATTGGGAATTTGGTTGTGTATTTGACCTAAAGGGATGACGAATTGAATACGAAATCTTGTGGAGCATATGCTTTTAATTTGTGGGATTATATGATTGTAATCATGTCGTGGTGTCCAAGAATTCAATTGCTTGAAGGATATAAGTTTTGAACTCCTTTCCAGTTGGGCTGCATTGTTTCCCCTTGTCCAAGGGTCAACCTTCCTACGTCTAACTTGACCAGCAAAACTTTGAACTAGTACTACAATTTACTGATTAAAAAATAGTAGCATGTATAGAATCACTAGCTAGTTTTTTGACATCGACTGAGTTGCCATGTCTTTTTTTTTGGGGGGGGGGGGGGGTAGATTTCGGATTTATATAACCAACAAGGTGTGCATATGCATCAAGGTGTTTTCTCTCAAGTATATATAATAATAAATTTATTAGTAATTAGGCACTAGAAACAGTAATCACCCATTAGGTAAGACATTTGGTTTGAATAAGAAATTTATTACGTTAGGCAATCGTTGATTTTGCATAATAACAGTTTTACCATTCTTGATTTTGCCAATTGGCAGTGACCTTTGAAATTGTCGGTGGCATCACCGTGAAAAGGGACCAAATTGGCCTAAGCATAAAAGTTAGAGGATGGTATTGTCCTATTTTACTGCATGAGAATCAAGTTAATTTGAATCAGTTAAAAAAAAAAAGGGTTGGAGGATCATGCATTTGGATCATTTGCTCAGGAAAATAAAATTTCCGCCATAGATTTCCACATTTTGTTGTTGACAGAACAAACAAAAATCACCATCAGCTTTAAATCTTTGACTGGTGTTCTTCTTTAAGGGCTGTAGCCTTTCTTTCTTTCCAATTCTCCATATGCAACCGGAGAGATCCTAGCAAACTTGCCAATGCTCATGAATAATACTTTTAGTTGCTTGTCCATATGTGGTAGTCCTGCTTGAGCTGCTTGTCCATATCATATGTAGTGTTTTCACTTTTACACCTTATTTGCACCCCCACAAATTTTTTTTTTATTTTTAAAAACTTATTTGTTTGCCCTTTCCATCCCTATAATTTTATAAAGTTAATTATGTTAGACCTTTTAAAGCATTTGAATATTTATTTATGTTTCCTCCTTTAAATTTCTAAAATTCTGTCTTTATATATACAAATGCTATATAGTGAAGATTCACTTTATAGAAAAAAAATTTCAACATTTTTTTAGTTTAAATACAACTATAATAATGTTAATTGTAAATCTACAGCAACAATTTAAATATACGGGTATAAAATCATCCATAATGAAGATTTAAGTCAACTACAAATCTATATATTGATAAAAACTAGTTCCGCCACTGGTCGCACCTCTCCATGTTTCCCCTTTTCACTTTAAGTCTCTTCCGAATGTTTCCTTGTTTTTCCTTTGCCCGTTTCACTCTATAGTATATGTTGCCATGATTTGTAGTAATGACTAATAACTCTTACATACGAACTGATCACTAAACTTTTTTTCAAAATCTCATTATGCTATTTGTCTATTAAGTAAATTTCTAGAAGTAATCAATTGATCCATTCTTTTACTTGCTAGATTGAAAGGACACGGGATTTCACCGCAAGGGAGCCACGTACTGCATCTGCTAGGGCATGTTTATCCTTTTGCACATCAAAAATTGTATACTGGGCATTTTGGCCAAAGGAGTTAAAGGGAAGAAAAATGCATTTCTAATCAAATTCTGCCATTCACCATAAAGCAATCTTTTATTCTTTCCCCTATTCCAATATGTCAACTTTTCCAAATATCACCAGGGATAAGGCGGGAGGAATTGCAAGTAAGAGGTCCTAAATTCAAGACTTTTCACTTACATAAAAATAAATAAATAAATGCAAGTGCGTGCATTTAGATGTGCATTTAGATATTCAGATAGTGAATTATGTGTACTAAGGAATAACATTAGGACATTCCTCGGAAAAATCCTGCAAATTTTTATAATCATTATTAGAACGAACAATGTAAAGAATAATTCAAGCATGATATCCTGCTAAGCCTTATCAAATATTTAGTTATTCCAACTTTCAACATCTTGCTCCCTAAATTTAATCCACGAAGCTCCACAAATGAACTCAAAAAACTTGTGATAAATCTCCAATAGCTCAGTGTCCACAGGAAATCCGACTTGAGCAGCTACCCAGTTTAAGTATTCAAACTGCAAAGGTTTCATTGCCAAATGGATATGGTCATTAAGTATTCAAACACCTGCATCGTAGTAAATCTAGTGGAACTAACAAACACCCATGAATAATCTCTGGAACTTTGATTACCGGATCAAGTGGAAGCCTATGAGTATGGTGCTTGGGGATCCTGTTCTCCTCCATAAGCCGGTAATGTTGTTCAACATCATGCAACATTTCTTCTTTTGGTGGCAAAATCACCTTCCCTGATAAAACAGATGCAACCCACTTGGCTTGTACTTCGATCATAAAAAATATGACAGCCTGTTAATGCACAATATCATCAACTGTCGGGATTAAATTGTTGCTTGCTTGTTTGAAACTGTCAACCAACATCTTACCGTGCAAGTTTTCCTGTATGACTATTATACAAGTTTTTCAATGCAAAGTTTATTTTGCACAACGTGGTATACTTAGGTACCGTTTGAATTAACCTTGGAAAAACGTATGCAAGATAAATATGCCAGCTGCAAAGTCTCATAAACTGACCCTATAAGGTAGTCCAACAAAAGAGAGCCCTGGAGCAAGTTCTGGAGGAAACACGTGCTTGTACAATGGTCCAACACGGTTGTCATCAATAGTTACAGTTCCATTCGTCCTCAAGAAATTAAAATCATACTTATACCTGTAAAATGTCAAGTTCAGCAAAGACGATAAAGGGCTTAGAATTAGCAGGCAACATTTGAGAGAGAATTTTAAGAAGAAGAGCAAACTCTGACATGCAATGCATTCAGTTAACAAAATGAGGAGGTAATTACCCGGTACAATGCAGAATGATATCTGCAGCAACAGAAGTTCCATCCTGGAAGGCTACTAGACCATTTTCATAGCAATACTCGATCTATGAGAAGTTTCAATTGTTAAATTTCTTTAGTCCACAAATGTAGGTTTTTCATACTGTGACTCCAGCATGTTCAGTACTCAATGGAATGCAGGATTACATACTTTTAAATGCTGCCACAAATTGTTGAACATCTCCAACTTTGAAACTTTGATCTCTGGAGATCTTGAACAAAGATGAACTTCTTTGGCTACCTTGGTGATTTCTTGACCAATATCCATGGCACTAGGTCCAGCACCAATAACAATTACAACCTGTATTTTTCACCAAGTTGGACAATGTAGATTTTTGCATATAATCTTACCACATAATTTCCAATCAAGTACAATATTGCAAACAAGTACCTGATCTCGGAATGGTTCAGGAACTCGATAGTTGTGGCTGTGAATTTGTTTACCAGGCCAACTTTTGATTCCTTGAAAGAACCAGAAAGTAAAATTAGCATTCAGTACAAAACTCTGATAAAGTAATTTTACCTTTTCCTCTTTTTGTTGGTAACAAAGGATTCATCCTGATTAATCAACTACCATCAAGTACAAAAACCACACAGCAGGAATTGCACGAGTAAACATGAGGAGCAAACTGCCAACAAATCTAAGATTTGTTCAGTAGGAAATGTATTTGAATTTTATAAAACTAAAATAGTTATTCTTTGCAGTCACTCCCTAAGGTTAGGTCAAGGTATCTGTTTGTCTCAGTTGAGTTTCGATGTAGGTAAAATTCATTTTTTTCCCTTGAACTCGTGAATCTAATTTTAATGTCATCATATTTCTATTACATTAATTTGCCTCATGAACTCCTGATTGTTTTGTGGGCCAAAATATAGAAATCTTGCTAGAAAAAACACATAAGGGCACGTTCTGAAGACTAAAGTCCATCTCACTCTTATCAAAGATCATCTTACATACAGAGCTAATGGATGTATCTTGCTCTCAATAGCTTACCTATGTGCTCCTACCCCTGATCTCAAGGGCAAGTTATACATGGTTGCCTTGAATATTTGTTGCAACCTCTTTCTTGGGAAGTTTCGCTGCAAAAAAAAGCTTGTGCATAGGTAGGTCCAGCTCAAACTGTAAAGAGAGTGCAACTAGCTATCAGTTCATCATAACCTACTTAGTAACATGACTAAATAGGGTACCTTAATCTTTCTTTGAAAACATATGATGATTGATGGGTGATATTTTTCAATATAGACCATAGTGTTGACTCCTGATAGCTTAGCATAACAGTTGTCTTCAAGTTTTTTCCCATCTTGACCATAT